CACCATCACTTTCCAGATCAAAACTTGGTGCGGTGTCACCTATCGCCAGCTGCTGCATTCTGTCATCCTTCTGTCATAATTTAAGCGTCATTGCCGGAACCTGAATCCGATATGTACACAGCTGTCGATTTTGCTGCGAGATTCGAAGTATCATAGGACGTGCTGCGACTCGTTCAATGCGCGTTGAAGCAGGTATTTGAGGCTGTGCAAAGGCCGCGGGCCTGTTGGCTGTCAACGGTCAGGAGAATGGACTGAATTTGTTTCGACGATCTGGCGGCAATACCAGGCAGGAAAAGACCCGTACGCAGAGACGATTTCGCAGACGCTTCTGGTACCTGGCGGCTTTCGTTGTTATTTGCGTGGTCGCAGGCCTTGCAGTTCTGTTTGCCTCCGGACCGGTGCGGATCCCTCTTCTTGGAAGTTTGCTTGCGTCACAGGGTACGCGTGGTCCCGTGCAGCTTTCCGTCGAACTGGCGCGCATTGATTTCACAGCTCACGACGGTATCGAGATCATTCTGGAAGATGCATCCGTCGATATTGGAGGGCCTGCACCGGTCAACATAAGTTTGCCGAGGCTCGTCGTTCCGCTCGACCGGGATGAGCTGCTGGCCGGCAAGCTGCGGTTCTCCTCGCTGCTGCTGGACAGACCGCGCGTGCGTGTCGCGCTCAAAGGGGGTCCGGCCAAGGTTCCTGAAATCGGTCCGCTCATGGAGGCCGTCGACCGGACGAGTGATGTCGTCGACGACCAGTTTGCAAGACGCGGACTGAGGTTCGTCAAGATAAGAAACGGGTCCTTCGAATTGGCGGGAGCATTTCCGCGCAGCTTCGAGGGAATCGACGCTGATGTCGTGCGCCGCGAAAATCGGGTTATACGGGCCAATGCCAAGGTCACGGGAAACGTCTCGACTTGGCGTCTGGAATTAGCCAGAAGTGCTCCGGAAGACGGATCAGGCAAAAACATCGGTGTGGTGGTGAATGGTATCACACTTGCCGAATTGCTGGGTCCTGACGCTCTGGAAAGACAAGGCAAGGGCCTTGGTTTGCCGGCATCGGCAAAGGTTGAAACGCGTCTGGACGGGGACGGCAATTTTGTTTCGGCAAATGTGGTTGGCCGTGTTCGAAACGGATGGTTTCAGCTCGGAAAAACGATCGTCGCCTTCGACGATGCTGCTCTGTCGTTACTCTTCAAGGGCGGGCAGGAAGCCATTGAAGTCACAAAGTCCCATGTTATCCGCGGCAACACCCGGATCTTCTTTACCGGCCTGATCGAGCCTGACGCAGACGGTGGCATGGATTGGAATGTCGGCATCGACATGGACCACCCCCAGTTTGGTTCATCCGATGTGCAAGAGCCGCCGCAGATGCTTGACGGGGTCAAGATCCGTGCGAGGTTCAATCCGGTTGACAGGCTGATTTCAGTAGACCGCTTTATTGCCAAGTCCGGCAAGGCGATCGCTCAAGGGGTGGCCAATATTCAGATTGCTGCGGACGGGCCGTATCTCGCGATCGCAGCCGAAGGGGAAAATATCCCGATTGGCGTTGCCAAACAGGTTTGGCCGATCACACTTGTCCCGCCGGCGCGCAACTGGGTGATTGAAAACATCAAGCAGGGAACCGTCGACAAGTTTTCCTATACGGCTGCCATCAGGCCACCGGCCTTCAATCACCGTGACCCGGATGCAGGCTGGTCTGGTGACGACATGCGTATGACCATGTCATTTTCAGGAGGTGCCGTCACGCCGTTCGGTGACTTGCCCGAAGTGACCGGGCTTGAAGGAACCATGACGGTCGCCAATGAGGTACTGACCGTTTCCGCTTCCAATGGCGAGGCGACAGCTTCGAGCGGCGGACAGGTAACAGTCCCGGGCAGTGTGTTCGAGATCTATGATCTACCGCTTCGTGACGGCAAGACCGCCAAGATTTCGGCAAAGGTAAAAGGTGCTGCCAAAGATCTGGGGGCCGTGGCAAACAGTGAACCCCTCAGTGTAATTGACCGTGTCGGGTTGAAAGGAGACGGAGCCAGCGGAACCGGAAGCATCGACGTTGTCGCTTTGTTTCCCCTGAGAAAAAATATCGATGTTGAAGATATCGATTGGCGTGCCAGCGGTCAGCTGGATGGCTTTAGCGATACCAATCCCATCATGGGGCATACAATCAAAAACGCCGATGTCCAGATCGATGCGAATCCCGGTCAGGTCGCAATCAAAGGCAACGGCATCCTGGATGGATTGCAGGCTGATATTGATCTTGTCGTGCCGATTGGTGAGTCCGGCGTTGCCGGGAAGCAGGATGTCGTTGTCGCTGTTACCGCGAAGAAATTGAAAGAAAAAGGAATTGACCTGACCGCCTTCCTGGACGGTGGCCTCAGGCTGGAGGTTGCCGGTTCAAGTGAAGGGCAGGCGTTTTCCGTCGATTTGAGGCAAAGCGTTATCAAGCTGGAGGCGCTTGGCTGGCGAAAGGCAAAAGGTGTTCCGGCCACGGCCACCTTCAAGCTGGTCGAGACGGAAAAGGCTCAGCAGGTTCGCGATTTCAGGCTTACGTCGGAGGGAGCAAGTGTTGTCGGATCGATGCTGCTTTCCAAATCCGGTGAACTGATAGAAGCCTCATTTGATACATTCAAATTGCGACCGGGTGACAATGCGGATGTTGCCATCCAGCGATCTACGGATGGACGCTATGACATCATTTTTTCCGGAAGTTCATTCGATGGCAGAGGGTTGATACAAAGCCTGACAAGTCCTGGTGGCAGCCAGGGGGCAGGTGACTTTGAGGAGGGTGCCCGCATAGCCGCGTCGATCGACCGCGTGACCGGGTTCAACAACCAGACGCTTCAAGGTTTCACAGGGAAGATCGAGACAGGCCGGAAGGGACTTCGAACCGCGGACTTGAACGGAAAGATCAACGGCCAGTCCGACTTTGAGTTGAAGGTCATTGAACAAGGGGCGAGCCAGCTTGCAACCGGCCAATTTGCCGACACGGGCGCGACGTTGAAATTCCTGGATTTTTATGAACGCATGCAGGGAGGCAGGGGTGTTCTCAGCGTGGCCATGGCGGATGAAGACAGTTGGGCAGGTGACTTCAAGGTTCGGTCACTGCGAATTACCGAGGATCCCGCAATCAAGAGCATCCGTGAACGGGAACGATCAAATCTTGATCCGGACAGTACCATTGCCACTGCGAGGGAAACGGATGGTTCTGCAAACTTCGATACAATGGATATCAATTTCACTCGCGAAGGCGACATACTGACGATTATTCGGGGTGCGCTGCAAGGGAATGTGCTTGGCGGCACAGTCAGCGGTACAGTGAACCTCACGGAACAGACATTGAGCCTGAGCGGAACATTCGTGCCGATTTATGCGTTGAACAACTTCTTCGCGAAAATTCCGATCCTGGGTTTTGCACTCGGCGGCAATTCGGGCGAAGGACTTATCGGTGTAACATATCGTTTGTCCGGGTCGGTGTCGGACCCGGTGCTGTCGGTCAATCCGATATCTGCGATTGCCCCCGGTATCTTCCGGAAAATGTTCGAATTTCAGCAGAACTGAAAAAGCCGGAGTTGTACCGGCAATTTCAATGTTCCAACGAGACTCAGACAGGTTTGAGCAAAACGTGTTTTTTCTTGCCGAGTGACAGCTTGATGATGCCTTCGTCCATCACATCCTCGGGCATGAGCATACGCTTGTCGTTCTGCTCGCCCTTGTCGTTGATCTTGACGGCACCGCCCTTGATGTTCCGGCGCACTTCTCCATTCGAGGCGCAAAGACCCGCAGTCACGAATGCGGACAGGACACCGAGACCGCCGTCCAGATCCGCTTTTGGAATTTCGACAGTTGGAAGACCTTCGGCGGACTGGCCTTCCTCGAAAGCCCTGCGTGCGGTTTCCGCAGCTTCTTCCGCCTTGTCACGCCCGTGGATGAGAGCAGTGGTTTCTGTTGCCAGGATTTTCTTGGCTTCGTTGACTTCTGCCCCTTCCAGTGCGGAAAGTCTTGCGATTTCTTCGATCGGCAAAACCGTGAAGAGTTTCAGGAAACGCTCGACGTCAGCATCTTCCGTGTTGCGCCAGTATTGCCAGTAATCATAGGCCGACAGCTGTTCCTCGTTGAGCCAGACGGCGCCCGCCGCAGTCTTGCCCATTTTTGCGCCGGAAGCTGTCGTGAGGAGCGGGGAAGTCAGCGCGAAGGCTTCGTGTTCCGATAGCCGGCGAACAAGGTCGGTGCCGGACAGAATATTGCCCCACTGGTCGGAACCTCCCATCTGCAGGCGGCAGCCCGTGCGCCGGTATAGTTCCAGGTAATCGTATCCCTGAAGCAGCATGTAATTGAATTCCAGGAAGGACAGGTGCTGCTCCCGCTCAAGCCGCAGGCGAACGGAATCCCGCTGGATCATCTGGTTGACCGAAAAGTGCCGACCGATATCTCTCAGAAAATCAACATAGTTCAGCTTGAGGAGCCAGTCTGCATTGTCCAGCATGATGGCATCGCCAGGACCGTCGCCGAATGTCAGGAGTTTCTCGAAAACTTTCCGGATACCGGCCTTGTTCTCTTCGATTACATCTTCGGTGAGGATCTTGCGGCTTTCGTCCTTGCCGGACGGATCGCCGACACGCGTTGTTCCTCCGCCCATCAAGGCAATCGGGCGGTGCCCTGTTTTCTGGAACCAGTGCAGCATCATTATCGGAACGAGAGACCCTGCGTGCAGGCTCGGAGCAGTACAGTCAAATCCGATATAGGCAGTGACGGTTTCCTTGACACACAATTCATCGAGCCCTTCAGGATCCGAGATCTGGTGAATGAAGCCGCGTTCCGAGAGAACGTTCAGAAAGTCCGATTTGAACTTGCTCATATTTTCGTCCGTGCCTGTCTTTGGTTCCAGCCAACTGGCCTGTCTTCAAACGTGCTCTAGCGCGAGACATCAGTGTTGTAAATTGCAGAAGGGCTGAATTCAGGCTGGTGTGCGGGTTCTGCGCCAACTTTCGGCACGGCGGACCTGCGCGCGGATCAGTGGGTCAACCCAAACCTGACGGGCACGAAAAGACTGGTGGCCAATCCGGCCACGATCAGGATTGCGAAAGAGATGGCAATCAGAATTATTTGTGTCGGCAGGGCCAATTTTTCCATTTCCATCCTGGAGCGATCGTGTTTCCGGTGTGGCTGGTCCTGCGCCACGTCCTCATGCCCCTGGTGCAGGTGGCCGGACATTGCCGGTTCCGGAGATCTGTGACCGAGAGCCGGTGTGTCTGCTCCGGGCAGGGTCATGCATCCGTGTTTGAGATGTGATTTCACGAGCCAGTAGTTGACCGGATAGGCCGTGAACAGACCGACAATCGAGGCAATGCTCATCCGGAACCAGAATTCCGGCCCGGACGGTTCTGTTGACGAGGGCCAGACGCTTGCAAGCACGATCATGGTCGGCAGCATGCCTGCCATGACGCAGTTCATGGACACGGTTTCTGCGAAAAACGTCTTGCGTACCGCTTTCCAATAGTCGCCGTCATACATGCCGCGCATCATCAGTGCCTGGAAAATGAACAGTCCGCAAATGAAGCCCGCAATGTACTCAAAGACACTGTCCCATCCGTTGGTCAAATGGAAAACGGGAACAATCATGGCGGCAATGACAATGCCCGTGGCGTCTCCGGCCAGGCAATGCATTTCGCTGTTGACCGACTGTTTCCATGTCTTTTTGGTGAATTCGTCATGGCCGCCCGGAAATGGCCGGCGGCAGGTCATCAGATAAAGAAAGCAGCCGACAGGCCCGGTGTAGGCAACCACGAGGATCCAGGCGAGTTTCTGAACCCAGCTTGTCACACCGTTGAAAACTGAATCCCAGATGACGAAGAAGAGGCTGGCGGCCGTCAGCAGAAACCAGACGATCATGGCACCCTGGAGCATCGAAAATTTCCGGACGATTTACGACGAAGGGCAGCGTGCCGTGGCCAAAAGTGAAAGTCAACGAAACCGGCAGTCGAGCGAATAACGGTCGTTTTGGTTTGAAGCGTGGCAGACCAGTAATCCTATGTGTCGCGCTTCTTGGCACAACATGTTCCCGCGTGATGCAGGGCTGTTTCGGCCAGGCTCGCAAGTCCGCAAGTGCCCGTGCAGGTCAGACGTTTGATCCATACAGAACCCGATTGGTTACCCCGAAATCACTCACATGACGACCGTCTGTGTTGAAGTTCCTTTGCTTCGGCCCTGTCTGCCAATTTCATTGATTCAAGTGAATGTGACGTAGCGTGATGACTATCACAACAGGACGCGCCAGTTGATCGTAAGGTCTTTTCATCAGCGAGAAAGATACTTCTAAGGATCAGTTGAGAGGACTTGTTATGTTTCGTAAATTTGCTATCGCCGCCGTCACTGTCGCCACCGTTGCGACCGCGGCAGTCGCCATGTCGCCGACCGACGCATATGCCAAGAACCGGAGAGGCGCTATTGCCGCAGGTGCAATTCTCGGGCTTGCCGCAGGAGCCATAATCGCTTCTCAGGCCCAGCCGCGTTACTATCAGCCCGTTCGCTGCCAGAATCAGCCGATCCGCCGCTGGGATCCCTATTACCGTCAGTATGTCGTCGTCGGGTACCGTCAGGTCTGCTATTGAGCCTGAGAAACCCTCGCGGCTCTGCCGCTGAAAACCGGACATAACGAAGAGCCTCCTTCTCGGGAGGCTTTTTCGTGTTGTGAGGACGTTCAAATTCCCATTCAATGAAGAAAATCGTCTCTCGAATCCGGTGCCCAATGTCCTTAGAAACCACTTCTCCCGCGCGCTCCCATGGTCTGGTTTGCGGTGACATGTTGCCCGGGGCGGGCAACAGGATCACGGACGTTCCCGGCGTAAAGGTGGGACACCAGACCATTATTGAGGGTAATCTCAGAACCGGGTTTACGGCAGTTCTGCCCCATTCCGGCAACATCTTCTTGGAAAAGATTCCCGCGGCTGCGGATGTGATCAACGGCTTTGGGAAAAGCGCCGGTCTCATGCAGATCGAGGAACTCGGCACCTTGGAAACGCCGATCCTGTTGACCAACACATTTGGCATTGGCACTGGCATCAACGCCTTGATCCGGCGGGAACTTGCCGAAAATCCGGAGATCGACAGATCCGGAGGAACTGTCAATCCGCTCGTCATGGAGTGCAACGACGGTTATCTGAGCGATATCAACGCAATTGCGCTGACTGAAGCAGACGCGTTTTCCGCGCTTGCAGCCGCCTCAAGTGACTTTGAGCAGGGCAACGTCGGTGCCGGGACCGGCATGAGTGCATTCGGTTTCAAGGGCGGAATCGGAACGGCTTCGCGTGTTTTTGAACTCGACCGGGGACAATTCACGCTTGGAACGCTGGTACAGGCGAATTTCGGCAAGCCCGGTGATCTGACACTTCCCGATGGCCGCAAGCCGCATCCGAACAATACCGATCAAACAGAAGAACGGGGATCGGTGATCATCGTAGTCGCGACCGATGTGCCTTTGGAAAGCCGCCAGTTGAAGCGCGTTGCACGCAGAGCAGCCGCCGGTCTCGGGCGACTGGGGGCCTTTTACGGCAATGGCAGCGGGGATATTTCACTGGCCTTTACCACTGCGTACAGAGTGCCGCATTTCACCGAAGGCGATTTTATCGCGCGCGAGATATTGCAGGAAGACAGAATCGATGCCCTGTTCAAGGCGGTGGCCGAGACGACCCAGGAAGCGGTGCTGAATGCCATGATTTCGGCACCGGCAATGCGTGGATACAAAGGGCGCAGCCGGCCCTCCTTGAGAGACTGGCTCAACGGTTCGGATTGAAAGTTCCTGGCTCAAACAAAAACCCCGGCCGAATGGCCGGGGTTTTCCGCTGTCTGAAGAGTGGTTGCTCTTAGACCGAGTAGTACATGTCGAACTCGACCGGATGCGGCGTCATTTCGAAACGCTCGACTTCTTCCATCTTCAATTCGATGTAGGCGTCGATCTGGTCGTCGTCGAAGACACCGCCGGCTTTCAGGAAGTCGCGGTCTGCATCAAGGCTTTCCATTGCTTCGCGGAGCGAGCCGCAAACCGTCGGGATCTCGGACAGTTCTTCAGCCGGGAGATCGTAGAGATTCTTGTCCATGGCATCGCCCGGGTGAATCTTGTTCTTGATGCCGTCAAGACCGGCCATCAGCAAGGCCGAGAAGCACAGATACGGGTTCGCGGTCGGATCCGGGAAGCGGACTTCAACACGCTTTGCCTTCGGAGAGGAGCTGAACGGAATGCGGCAGGACGCAGACCTGTTGCGCGAAGAGTAAGCCAAAAGAACTGGAGCCTCATAGCCCGGGACCAATCGCTTGTAGGAGTTGGTGGACGGGTTGGTGAAGGAGTTCAGGGCCTTGGCATGCTTCAGAATACCACCGATGAAATAAAGGCAGGTTTCGGAAAGGTCCGCATACTGGTTGCCGGCGAATGTCGGCTCACCGTTGTTCCAGATGGAAAGGTGGCAGTGCATGCCGGTGCCGTTATCGCCAAAGACCGGCTTGGGCATGAAGGTCGAGGTCTTGCCGTAGGCGTGAGCCACCTGATGAACGACGTATTTGTAGACCTGCATGTTGTCGGCGCAGCGCGTCAGATGATCGAATTTCATGCCGAGTTCGTGCTGAGCTGCAGCCACTTCGTGGTGATGCTTTTCGGTCGGAACACCCATTTCGCTCATGACGGACAGCATTTCGGAGCGAATATCCTGAGCGCTGTCGACTGGTGGAACCGGGAAGTAACCGCCCTTGGTGCGCGGACGGTGGCCAAGATTGCCGGTTTCGTATTCGGAACCCATGTTGGAAGGCAATTCAGAGCTGTCCAGAATGAAGCCGGTGTTGTAGGGATCCGCATTGAAGCGAACATCGTCAAACATGAAGAATTCGGCTTCCGGGCCGACGAAGATCGTATCACCGAAACCGCCGGACTTCACATACGCTTCTGCCTTCTTGGCAGTCATGCGCGGGTCACGGTTGTAGCCTTCACCTGTGATAGGATCGACGATGTCGCAGAATATTGCCATGGTGGACTGCGCAAAAAATGGGTCCATATGTGCTGTTTCCGGATCGAGGATCAGCATCATGTCGGACTCGTTGATGGCCTTCCAGCCTGCAATCGAGGAGCCGTCGAAGGCAACGCCTTCCGCAAACATGTCTTCGTCAACAAGTGCAACATCCATGGTAACGTGCTGCATCTTGCCGCGCGGATCCGTGAAACGCAGGTCTACGAATTTCACGTCCTTTTCCTGAATTTCCTTAAGGACGTCAGCGGCAGTGGTCATTATGTCCATCCCTTGATTATCTTGTGAACGGTTGGGTTTTGGTCCGGGCCCTCAAGGAGGCGTTTCCCTGCTTAAGAAGCCGGAGTTGGGATTACCGGCGAATGCCGGAATTCTGAGGGTTAGATGGCGTCGATGCCGGACTCTCCGGTCCGGATGCGCACGGCCTCCTCGATGTTTGAAACGAAGATCTTGCCGTCGCCAATGCGGCCTGTCTGGGCGGCTGTACGGATCGCGTCAACCGCCTTTTCAACCATGTCGTCGCCCAGTACAATCTCGACTTTGACCTTGGGAAGGAAGTCAACGACATATTCAGCGCCGCGGTAAAGCTCCGTGTGGCCTTTCTGCCGGCCGAAGCCCTTGGCTTCGGTGACGGTGATACCCTGAAGGCCGACTTCCTGCAGAGCTTCCTTGACCTCATCCAGTTTGAAGGGCTTGATGATCGCTTCGATCTTTTTCATCACCTTGTTTCTCTCTCCACGTAACAGGCCGGACTTGTCGGCGGGCTCGTTTTAGTCCGGTGGGCCGGGACGAGCGTTCCCGCTCACCGGTGCGAACCGATAAGCCCCAGAAAGCACGATGCGTGCCAACCTTGCGTGGTTGATTTCGTTATTTCATGAGTCCGGGAATTCCGCCAAGAAAAGCGGCATTTTGAATCCAAAAAAGGATGCCACACGCAGGGACTTGACGAGATGCTGCTCAAAAATTATGCGAAACGACAAAAAAATAGGCAGAAAATCGATTAGCTTGTCATCAGTCGGATGAAATCCGTAAAATTCAGACCCTGACCGCCGTGTTCTTTTTTGTCTGGAGCAATAATACCAAATGACATTCGAAACCGGAAATTCCGAAGCGGCTCTCCTGACGCCAGAGGAAATGGGTCGTGCGGATAAGCTGACTATCGAGAGCGGTGTGCTGGGTATCGTCCTTATGGAAAGAGCCGGACAAGCTGTCGCGCGCGCCGCTGGAGAACGTGTTGCCACTGGCGACAAAGTGCTGTTTTTGTGCGGTCCCGGGAACAATGGCGGCGACGGGTTTATAGCGGCCAGGTGTCTTGCGGCCGCCGGATATGCCGTCAGGATCTTTGTTTTGAAGGACCCTGCCGAACTCAAGGGAGATGCGCTCGAGGCATTTGAACGACTCGGTCCGGTTGCAAGCAATCAATGTGGAAAAGCGATCGAAGGCGATGATATCGCAGACGACTTTATCTCAAGTCTCGGGTCGTCGGACCTTGTCATTGACGCGCTTTTCGGAGCCGGGCTCGATCGGCCGCTTGCCGGTACCGTTCTACAGTTGGTGGAACTCGTCAACCAGTCCGGTGTTCCGGTACTGGCCGTCGATCTGCCGTCGGGCGTGAGCGGAGCCAGCGGACTGATCCTCGGTGGCGCGATCAAGTCGTGCGCGACGGTAACGTTCTTTCGGGCAAAGCCCGGACATCTTCTTTTGCCAGGAAGGGAACTGTGTGGTGAAACCAGGGTTGCCGATATCGGCATTCTTGCACAAACGCTTGAGGAGATCTCTCCCGACACTTTCCACAACAGTCCGGAGCTCTGGTTGGGCTCCTGGCCACGTCCGGGGACGAGCGCGCACAAGTATTCCAGAGGACACGCGGTTGTTTTCGGTGGGCCGATGTCATCCACCGGGGCAGCGCGACTGTCTGCAGGGGCCGCGCTGAGGGCAGGGGCGGGGCTCGTGACCCTTGCTTCGCCACCGGATGCGATGATGGTGAACGCCTGCCATCTGACCGCTGTCATGTTGAGGAAGGTTTCAGATGCCGGTTCCATCACCGGGTTTCTCGCGGACGAGCGATTGAACGCATTGCTGATCGGACCCGGTTTTGGCGTCGGGGCAACAACCCGCACGGTGGTCGAAGCGCTTTTGGCCGCGAACCGGGCAATCGTTCTCGACGCAGACGCGTTGACGAGTTTTTCCGAAGATCCGGACGCTTTGTTCGGGATGATACGGTCGTCCCCCGCACCGGTGCTGCTGACGCCGCACGAAGGCGAATTTTCCAGACTGTTTCCTGATATTGCCGGCGATAAACTTCAACGGGCCCGGCTTGCTGCCGAAAGGTCCGGTGCCATCCTGGTGCTGAAAGGTCCGGACAGCGTCATAGCAGCCCCTGATGGCCGTGCAGCTATCAACCGGAATGCGCCCCCCTGGCTGGCTACTGCCGGGTCTGGTGATGTCCTGGCGGGAATTGCCGTTGGTCTGCTGGCCCAGGGTGTTCCGGGCTTCGAGGCCGGCTGCCAGGCTGTTTGGCTTCACGGGGAGGCAGGGCTGGAATCCGGTCCGGGCCTTACCGCCGAGGATCTCGCGCCGGCACTCAAATCAGTGATCCGTGGGGTTGTGGACAAGAGCAGCGTTGGACGCAGGTGAACGCATCTTTTTCCTTTGACGGGCAAATCTGCGGTGGTATAGAAGCCCCGCTTTAGACGCAGGGCCAAGCGGCCTGACGCGACGCGGATGTGGTGAAATTGGCAGACACGCCAGATTTAGGTTCTGGTGCCGCAAGGCGTGGGGGTTCAAGTCCCTCCATCCGCACCATCAAATACTTTTGAGATATTGCCTGTCCAATCACTTGTGCCCGGTGCCGGCACTGTCGACACTCGAAATCGGCTGCCGTTGGTTCAGTTCATATCTGGTGACTTGGGTATCTGGTGACCTAGATCGTCCGGTTGTCCGTATTTGCGTTTGCGCGCGACCAGGTGCGCCGGGACCGGGAGCGCATATCCATTGCTTCGAATTCATCGTGTTCAGCAGCGTCCCCACGCTCAACGGCACACATTGCGGCGAGGGTGCGGCAGGTCACTTGTTGCGTCTCAACGTGATGTCTATCACCATCCGGCCAGACGAATGGGCGTAAGGGTATGTGACCAGTTTCGATCGTTCAGCAGGATCGGCGCATTTTTCATGTCACTGTCTGGAGTTCATTATGAGTACTCTGCCGAAAATTCAGATTGACCGTTCTGTCGGGCATCGGGCGCAAAACAATATTGCGGACGTGCGCAAGGTGCAGATCCAGCTGAACCTGCTTCTGGATCCCGGCCGGACATCCCTGGTTGAAGACGGTTTTTATGGTCCGAATACCAAAGAAATGATCGGGGACTTCCAGAGCAAAGTTCTTGGATTTCAGTTTCCGGACCATCGCGTTGACCCCGGTGCAAAGACCATCAAGGCTTTGAATGATGAAGCTTCAAGACAGAAGTGGAAAATCGCTCCGGATACTCCAAAACCCGTCGAACCCGACAAACCGAAGCCTGTGAATCCTGTCAATCCGGAAGACTTGCCCAAAATCGTTGTCCATGGGCCGATTGATCAAAAGGGCGGTTTCGACAGCTATCCGGCACCTGTCCAGGTGCTGGGACCAACGCAGGTGACGTCGAATGTCGACAGGGACGGTGCCTGGATCATGGTTCCAAACGGTGGTGAAAGAACAATACGCCTTGGAATTTCACCTGATGCCCCGGTGCAGTTCGTCAGCAACGGCGTCGATGAGAACGGTGTCGTGAGATCGTTCAGAAAACAGGAATTGATCAAGGTAACGTCGCATGGGCAGAACCTGACCATCAAGGGATTGAATCCCTGCAAGAACTGCAAGGTCGACATCGTCAGCAACGGGCGGCATCTGAGACTCTACGTTTCTGTAAAACCACAGCGAATCGTGCCGCTTTTCGTTTTTCATGTCGAACATGGACCGGGGATGAAATCCCGCGTGTCTGCAAGTGAACTCAGAACTGTGTTGAAGATTGCCAACTCCGAGATACTGCGGCCACAATGCAATGTAGAATTTGATCTGAAGGATCAGCGCGCGCTATCGCACAAGGATATCGGCAAGCATCTCGGTGCGATCGTTCGCGACGATACCTTCAACAGCAAGAAAGACGAGTGGAAGTATCTCAGACCATTCGTGAACAGCAGGAAATTCCCGCAACCCAACGGCGCTGAACCCACAACAACAGTCAATTTGTTCATCGTGCGAAACATGCGCAGTGTTCAGGAAGAGGGCAAGCGTCCCATCAAGGTGTGGGGTGCGATGGACAGCAGTTCAGGAATGTGCGTCATGCAGGATCGATCCATCGGACGATTTACCGGTGTGAACGGTCTGGCGCATACGCTCTGCCACGAACTCGGTCACCTGCTCATCGGGCAGATCTATGTACACGGCAACGACATCGTTCAACCCGAATCTCACAATCCCTACTCTGACGCACTGATGTATTCCGGCGGGAAGGGGAACAAGCTTTACCGAATCGAGATCGAGGCAATGAATCCGACGCGTCATCAGCCTCCGCCACTTGTGATCGGCTGAGGATGTCGTCGCCTTACCCGCGCGAATTGGAAACAGTATCGGGAATCTTGTCGATCCAGGCTTTTCATCCCACCATTCGAGTCCGGTCGTCAGATAACGACGACCCGTTTTCAGGCGGGTCCTGGAAAAATGTCATTTCCGCTTTTGATGGTGTTCGAAACGGCCACAATCAGGCGGGGCGGCGGCCAAATTCCCCGCTCTCCCCTTGACACTTTGGGCCTCAGCCTTTATCGCGCTCCCATCGTGCGTCCCGGAGTCCGCTTCGGGGCGAGGTGCTGCTTTTTGAACGCTTCCGGCAAAAGGGGAGCGCGAGCGGCGCGGCACACGGGATTGAAAACAAAACCTCCAGGGCGAATTGGCGCTCAGGACCGAGGACGACAAAACCCATGCAGGTAACCGAAACCCTCTCCGAGGGCCTCAAGCGAGAGCTCAAAATCGATATTCCGGCCGGTGATCTTGCCACCAAGCTCGAAGACTACATGGCCGACCTGAAATCCAAGGCCAACATCAAGGGCTTCCGCCCGGGTAAAGTGCCGGTCGGACACTTGAAAAAAATGTACGGCCGTCAGGCGATGGCGGAGATCCTGTCGAACACCATCCAGGAAACGACCCAGAATGTTGTCGAGGAACGCTCCGAGCGCCCGGCTCTGACACCAGAAATCGATCTGCCGGAAGAAGATGCCGAGAAGATCATGGCTGGCGACGCCGACCTGTCCTTCAAGATGACCTACGACGTTCTGCCGGTCTTCGAAATCGTTGATTTCGCCGGGTTTGACATCGAGCGTCCGGTCGTTGAAATCGCCGACGAGGAAGTCGAAACCCAGGTCGCGGATATCGCCAAGAACAACACCCCTTTCGACACCAAGGACGGAGCGGCTGAAGACGGTGACCGGGTCACCATGTCCTATCTCGGAAAGATCGACGGCGAAGCGTTCGACGGCGGTGCGGATGAAAACGGTCAGCTCGTTCTGGGCTCCGGACAGTTCATTCCCGGTTTCGAGGAGCAGCTGACCGGCCTGAAGGCTGGCGATGAGAAAGTCGTTGAAGTCAATTTCCCCGAAGACTATCCGGCTGCGCATCTGGCCGGAAAGGCTGCTGCCTTCGACGTCGAGGTCAAGGAAGTTGCAGCTCCTGGCGAAGTCACGATCGACGACAAGTTCGCCGAAGGTCTCGGCCTTGAGTCGCTCGACAAGCTGAAGGAAATTGTCCGAGGCCAGATCGAGAGCCAGTTCGGTCAGATGACTCGTCAGCGCGTGAAGCGTCAGCTCCTGGACAAACTCGACGATCACTATTCCTTCGAGCTTCCCGAAAAGCTGCTTGAGTCGGAATTCGAAATCGTTTGGCGCCAGGTCGAAGAAGACATGAAGCGCAACGAAAAGACCTTTGAGGACGAAGACACCACGGAAGACGAGGCCAAGGCGGAATACCGCAAGATTGCCGAGCGCCGTGTCCGTCTCGGACTTGTTCTTTCGGAAATCGGCGAGAAGAACGACATCCAGGTGACCGACGAGGAACTGCAGCGCGCGCTTTATGACCGTGTCCGTCAGTTTCCGGGTCAGGAGCAGCAGGTGTTCGATTACTACAAGAACAACCAGCAGGCACTGGCGTCTCTCCGTGCACCGATCTACGAGGAAAAAGTCGTCGACTTCATGCTCGAGCTTGCCAACGTTACCGACAAGACGGTGACCAAGGAAGAGCTGGAGAAACTGGTTGCGGAAGACGAGGAAGACGCATAATCGTCTTGCCGGTAATCCCCAGGCGCGGTGATGGCCTTAACCTTGCCTTCATACCGCGTCTGCCATGAGTTTGCGTTAAGGGCGACATCCCATATATACGGGGTGTCGCTTTTTTCGAGTCAGACCCTTGATCGATGCGCTTTTAGGGTCTGTGTCCTGCCCGGTGTCCCCGGGCATCATCTCAAGCATATGGATGAGGTATGAAGGATCCTGTCGATATCTACATGAACACTCTCGTGCCAATGGTCGTCGAGCAGACGAATCGCGGCGAGAGGGCCTTCGATATCTACTCGCGCCTGTTGAAGGAGCGCATCATTTTCCTCACCGGTCCGGTTGAGGATCACGTGGCAACCCTGGTAAGTGCCCAGCTTCTCTACCTGGAAGCTGACAACCCGACCAAGGAAATCGCGATCTACATCAACTCTCCGGGTGGTCTCGTGACCTCCGGACTGGCGATTTACGATACGATGCAGTTCATCAGGCCCTCGGTCTCCACGCTCTGCATTGGCCAGGCAGCTTCGATGGGCTCCCTTCTTCTGGCGGCCGGTCAGAAGGATATGCGTTTCATTTTGCCAAATGCACGTGTCATGGTGCACCAGCCTTCCGGCGGATTCCGCGGTCAGGCAGCCGACATCATGCTTCATGCACAGGAAATTCTGGCCATGAAACGCAGGCTTAATGAAATCTACGTGAAGCACACGGGTCAGAGCCTCGATCAGGTTGAAGAGGCGCTGGAGCGTGACAACTTCATGACTGCCGAAAAGGCCAAGGAATTCGGCATTGTCGACAATGTCATAACCGATCGCACGTCGCTTGGCGGCGAAAGCGAGGCCTGATAGGAATTACCCGGTCTTAAGGAAGGTTTCAATTTCCGTCCAATAGACCGGAAATTCCCCAATTGATGCCGGGTTTTCATCTTCGCCTTAAACCTATATTGATTTTTAATGGTGAAGCATGATGACATTATATAATGAAGTAACGTTTCCGGGCGAAGCTTCATATCCGGATAAGCCATAATTTGGCCGTAACCGGAAACATAAGGGGGAAGGCCCCATAAACGCGAGGTTGAATACATGACCAAGGCCAGCGGCGGCGATTCCAAGAATACGCTCTACTGCTCCTTTTGCGGCAAGAGCCAGCACGAGGTTCGCAAGCTGATCGCCGGCCCGACTGTTTTCATTTGCGATGAATGTGTCGAGCTGTGCATGGATATCATCCGTGAGGAAAACAAATCCTCGCTGGTGAAGTCACGGGACGGTATCCCGACCCCTCAGGAAATTCGCGATGTTCTCGATGACTATGTTATCGGACAGGGCAGCGCAAAGAAGGTCCTGTCGGTCGCCGTTCACAACCACTACAAACGCCTCAACCACGCGTCCAAGAACAACGATGTGGAACTGGCTAAGTCCAACATACTTCTGGTGGGACCGACAGGGTGCGGCAAGACGCTTCTTGCGCAGACACTTGCCCGAATCCTGGACGTGCCCTTCACCATGGCTGATGCGACCACGCTGACAGAGGCCGGCTACGTTGGTGAAGATGTCGAGAACATCATCCTGAAACTGCTTCAGTCCGCCGACTACAATGTCGAGCGTGCGCAGCGAGGCATCGTCTACATTGACGAAGTGGACAAGATCAGCCGCAAGGCCGACAACCCGTCGATTACCCGTGACGTGTCGGGCGAGGGTGTTCAGCAGGCCCTGCTCAAGATCATGGAAGGAACGGTCGCTTCCGTGCCACCACAAGGAGGTCGCAAGCACCCGCAGCAGGAATTCCTGCAGGTGGACACGACCAATATCCTTTTCATCTGCGGTGGGGCGTTTGCGGGTCTGGACAAGATTATCTCGGATCGGGGAACGCAAACCTCCATTGGTTTTCAGGCGCAGATCCATGCCCCTGAAGACCGTCGGATCGGTGAACTGTTTGCTGAACTTGAGCCTGAAGACCTTCTGAAATTCGGCCTTATTCCGGAATTCGTTGGCCGTCTGCCGGTAATTGCGACGCTCGAGGATCTCGATGAAGATGCCCTGGTGACGATCCTGACAGAGCCGAAAAATGCTCTGGTCAAGCAGTACCAGCGTCTGTTCGAAATGGAACAGGTCGAACTGGCCTTCCACGACGAGGCGCTCAAGGCGATTGCCCGCAAGGCAATCGAACGCAAGACCGGGGCTCGCGGACTGCGATCGATTCTGGAAGCGATCTTGCTCGATACCATGTACGAGTTGCCGGGTCTCAAGGGTGTAAAGGAAGTGGTGATATCGCCTGAGGTCGTCAAAGGCGAAGCCAGGCCTCTTTATATTTACGAGGACCGCGAAGAAACATCTGCGACCAGTGCCTGACCTCCGGTCTTGCACTTTTCGATATAAGTGAATAAATGCCGCTCTAAACGAGCGGCATTTTGTTTTTAGTATCTGTTTGTGAAACAGCACCGGTGTTTTCCACCGGCTGTGCGAGTCGTCAACAGACTAGACCTATTTGGGACACAGCCTTGCCTTGACACCGGCAGGTGAGGTGTCCACCTAATAGACCTTAAGGACGGCTCGTGCGAACCGTCAGCGCGCCCAGTCGGGGTGCTGTGGTTCGGCCTGTCGGGAGAATTTCCGAAAGCCGTTTTCCAGTGTTCTGGTTGCTTTTTTACAATGGGGCCGGAACACGCTGAGAAAGGATAAAAAATGAGCGACGCAGAAATCCGCGCCACCGATCCGGACAGCACCGCTGTCTATCCCGTTCTGCCCCTGCGCGACATTGTCGTCTTTCCCCATATGATCGTTCCGCTCTTCGTTGGCCGCGAGAAATCGATCAAGGCGCTGGAAGAGGTGATGACGACCGACAAGCACATTCTTCTGGCAACGCAGATGAATGCGGCGGATGACGATCCCAATCCCGATCAAATCTACAATGTCGGCACGCTCGCTACCGTGCTTCAGCTGTTGAAGTTGCCGGACAACACCGTGAAGGTGTTGGTGGAAGGCGGCGCGCGCGCGCAGATCGGCGAGTATTCGGACAGGTCCGACTATTTCGAAGCCTCCGCAACGGTGCTGCCTGAGCGTGATGGCGAGAATATCGAAGTCGAAGCGCTGGCGCGCTCCGTCGTTTCCGAATTCGAGAACTACGTGAAACTGAACAAGAAGGTTTCGCCGGAAGTTCTCGGCGCAGTCAATCAGATTGACGACTATTCCAAGCTTGGAGACACGATCGCATCGCACCTGGCAATCAAGATCCCGGAAAAGCAGGAGATTCTTGGCGTCGTTTCCGTTGCTGAGCGGCTCGAGCGGGTTCTTGGCATGATGGAGAGTGAAATCTCCGTCCTGCAGGTTGAAAAGCGTATCCGGTCGCGCGTCAAGCGTCAGATGGAGAAGACCCAGCGCGAGTACTATCTGAACGAGCAGATGAAAGCCATTCAGAAAGAGCTCGGTGACAGCGAGGACGGGCGTGACGAAGTCGCCGAACTTGAAGAAAAGATCAAGAAAACCAAGCTGACCAAGGAAGCACGTGAGCGTGCAGCGGCCGAGATCAAGAAACTCAAACAGATGAGCCCGATGTCCGCGGAAGCGACCGTTGTTCGCAACTATCTGGATTGGTTGATCGGCATTCCGTGGAACAAGAAGTCCAAGGTCAAGCACGACCTTGCGCTTGCCGAAAAGGTTCTCGACACGGATCACTACGGTCTCGACAAGGTCAAGGAGCGCATTGTCGAGTATCTAGCCGTTCAAAGCCGCGCCAACAAATTGCGCGGACCGATTCTTTGTCTTGTCGGGCCCCCGGGCGTTGGCAAGACATCTCTCGGCAAGTCCATTGCCAATGCGACAGGACGTGAATTTGTTCGCATGTCACTTGGTGGTGTCCGTGATGAAGCCGAGATCCGCGGTCACAGGCGCACCTATATCGGTTCGATGCCCGGCAAGGTCATCCAGTCGATGAAGAAGGCGAAGAAATCCAATCCGCTGTTCCTGCTCGACGAGATTGACAAGATGGGCATGGATTTCCGTGGCGATCCGTCCTCGGCACTTCTCGAGGTGCTTGATCCTGAACAGAACTCTTCTTTCATGGATCATTATCTGGAGGTCGAATACGACCTTTCCGATGTCATGTTCGTCACAACGGCCAATACGCTGAATATCCCGGGTCCCCTGATGGACCGTATGGAGATCATCCGGATCGCCGGCTACACCGAAGAGGAAAAGGTGGAGATCTGCCGCCGTCACCTCATCCCGAAAGCGGAAAAGGATCACGGCCTGCGGGAAGGCGAGTTCAAGATTGAAGACGACGCACTCCAGTTTGTCGTTCGCCGTTATACTCGCGAAGCCGGTGTTCGTAACCTTGAACGCGAAATGGCGACCCTGGCCCGGAAGTCGGTCAAGGAAATCCTGATGAGCGATAAGGAAAGCATCACGGTAACCCCGGAGGTGGTCGAGGACTATCTGGGCGTGCCACGTTATCGCTACGGCGAAGTCGAGTTGGAAGACCAGGTCGGCGTGGTGACCGGGCTTGCGTGGACAGAGGTCGGCGGCGAATTGCTGACGATTGAAGGCGTGATGATGCCGGGCAAGGGCAAAATGACCGTGACCGGCAACTTGAAAGACGTGATGAAGGAGTCGATTTCAGCTGCCGCATCCTACGTCCGCTCGCGTGCGGTCGATTATGGGATCGAGCCGCCGAAATTCGACAAGACCGACATCCACGTGCATGTACCGGAAGGCGCAACACCAAAGGACGGTCCATCGGCCGGCATCGCAATGGCAACGGCGGTTATCTCGACCATGACCGGTATTCCCGTTCGCAGGGATGTGGCCATGACCGGTGAAATCACGCTACGGGGCCGCGTTCTGCCGATTGGCGGCCTGAAGGAAAAATTGCTGGCTGCGCTGCGTGGTGGCATCAAGCTGGTGATGATTCCGGAAGACAACGCCAAGGACCTTGCCGAGATTCCGGACTCGGTCAAAAACTCGCTCGAGATCATCCCGGTTTCGGGTGTGGAAGAGGTGCTGAAAAACGCGCTTGTGCGTCAACCGGTGCCGATCGAGTGGGATGAAAATGCTGCTGAAGCTGCCGCAAAAGCAGCTGAGTCGGACAAAGACAAGACCGGTGTTTTGGCCCACTAAAGTCTAATTTGCACCGCACAAAAAGGCGAGCCCCGGAGATTCCGGGGCTTTTCTTTTGAATAATCGGTCGAAATGGCGGTTTTCTGCGAAAAAACCACTTGCGTTTCGTTTCAATTCGCCCGAATTTCGCGCAACGGCGCTGACAAGAATCGTCGGCACTCTGCCGTTTCTTAGAAAGGTATCTGCTATGAATAAGAACGATCTGATCGCAGCTGTTGCAGAAAAGACTGGCCTGACCAAGGCGCAGGCGGGCGAAGCAGTTGACGGGACTTTTGATGCAGTCACGGAAACGCTGAAAGGCGGCGACGAAGTCCGCATCATCGGCTTTGGCAACTTCACGGTTTCCGAACGTGCAGCGACTGAAGGCCGTAACCCGCGGACTGGCGAAACGATCCAGATCCCGGCTTCTAAGACGCCGAAGTTCAAGGCCGGCAAGGGCCTGAAAGACGCTGTTAACAGCTAAGCGTTCATAGACGACTCGTCTTTTTAAACCCCGCATCCGGATTGCCGGATGCGGGGTTTAATTTGTTCATCCGGAAGGGTTCTTGCAAGGCTGTAGATCCGTAACGAATGCCGAGTCCGACAATGCCGGCCTCATGTTTCACGTGAGCTTCATCCACATTCGAATACAAGCCACGCATTTTTTCGAATTTGTTCTTGCCAAGTTTCATCGGACGACCTAAAAGGCGTCTCACCTCGTTGAGGGCGATTAGCTCAGTTGGTAGAGCGCTTCGTTTACACCGAAGATGTCGGGAGTTCGAGTCTCTCATCGCCCACCATTTCCCCCGATTTTTCAATGCGATTCAAAGTACGCTGATACGATCAATTCGTATCTCGTTTGCTGGGCCACCAATTGCGGTTGTCTGATCTTGCGGCTGCGCAAACAGCGGCTGATCTTGCGAATCCGTATCGAGCTCCCTTTGATCCTGTCGGGTGTCGCCAGACCCTCTCGAGGCGAGGATTTTGGTGGTGACCATGTGCAAAACTTCCTTGAAAACAGCCAATCTGCACTGAGTGCGCTTTTTTCTTGTTTTTCTCGTTCCCTCAGTCTATACATTTCACTGGCTAAGTAAAAAATCCCTAAAAATTAAAAGCTTATCAAAAATGGCCTTTCTAATTTTGCTGAAAATACTCGGCGCGGTGATGTTGCTGCTTTATGCCGTTCGCATGGTCCGGACAGGTTTTGAAAGAGCATCAGGTCCGGCGTTGCGCCGTGCAATAAGCAAGGCTGCGTCCGGTCGCGTGACCGGTGTTTTCTCCGGAATGGCGGTTGCAGTCTTGCTTCAAAGCGCAACGGCAGTCGCGGTACTGGCGGCCGGCTTTGCGACGTCCGGCATCTTGACCACGGCCGCCGGCCTTGCGGTTCTTCTGGGGGCGGATCTCGGTTCGTCGCTCGTCGTTCAGTTTCTGGTCTTTGATCTCAGTTGGCTGGTACCGCTGTTGTTGGCGGTCGGAGCCTGGTTGTTTCTCAAGATTGAGTATCGCACTGCCAAGCAAACCGGACGGATTCTTGTCGGGATCGCGCTGGTCCTGATTTCGCTGCAAATGATTGGAGACTCGACTGCGCCACTGAAAGAAGCGCGGTTCATGCCTCAAATCGCTGCGTATCTGGCATCCGACGCGCTCACCGCTCTTGCACTGGGCGCCGTGCTTGCCTTCCTGATGCATTCAAGCGTGGCGACCGTGCTCATGATTGCAGCATTCGCGCAGAAGGCCGGTCTTCCCCTTGAAGCTGCGGTACCTCTGGTTCTCGGGGCAAATGCCGGTGCAGGAGCCGTTGCGATCTGGTTGACAAGAGGGATGGATCGAAAAGCAAGGCTTCTGCCGCTTGGAAATTTCATTTTCAGGTCTGCCGGGGCGGTTGCCGCGCTGTTGCTGGTGACCTCGGTTCATTTGCCGCTTGAGGAAATCAGCAGTCTGCCGGCGCAACAGCTTGTTGCAGTTCACATACTGTTCAATCTGGCGCTGGTATTGATCTGTACGCCTCTTACCGCTCCGATGGCCTGGTTGGTCGAACGCATCTTGCCCGAGGACGTGTCAACAGGTGAAGGTGAGCCCAATGCGCCCAAGAGTGCCCTGGATCAAAGGGTCGTGCACGTGCCTCGCCTGGCGCTTGCAAGCGCAACGCGTGAGTTGCTTCGCATGGGTGAGCAGGTTGAAGCCATGGCACAGCCTGTGATGATGATGCTGGACAATGGCAGCGTACCGGAAATTCGCAGACTGCAGCAGATGGATGGCAGCATCAACGTGATCCATTCGGATATCAAACTCTATATTGCGGAGTTGAACCGCGGAGAACTCACCTCCGAAGAGGCCGAGCAAAGTCTTGAACTTGCAAGCTTTGCGATCAACCTGGAACGTGCAGGCGATCTCGTTTCGAAAAACCTGCTGGAAAGGGCCCTGGGGCTTCTCGAAAACGGTGTCAGCTTTTCAGAGGAAGGTCGGAGGGAGCTGGAAAGAATGCACGATCGGGTTCTGGCAAACATGCAGCTGGCGCTTAATGTACTTGTGTCGAGTGATGTGGCTTCCGCGCGCGAATTGATAGCGGAAAAAGACATGATGCGTCTGTTGGAAAAGGAATGTCATGATCGACATCTGGACCGGCTCAAGTCCCGTCTGCCTGAGAGCATTGAATCGAGCAATGCGCATATGGAAGTTGTCAGAAGCCTGAAGGAGATCAATTCTCTTTTTGCGACGGTCGCTGTCCCTATCCTGGCAAGGGAAGGGCAGCTCAGAGACAGCCGACTGGTTCCGGCCGAATAGATATCTTACTGAAAGTAAACACCAAAACGGACAGAACCTTTGTTTGTTCGTTACTGTTCGAATTGAGCCGGGTAACGAAATCAACCGGGATGCATGTCTGTAAACTCGGCTACCGGGGGCAGGTTTTCCACATTGAAAAATCGTCTTATCCGGAGTGGAAAAAGCTGGTTGTCCGCGGCTTTGTCAAAAATCGGCAATTTGGATGCGACAGGGCGCTTGACTTCCCCATCCAGCCGCCGTACATCAGCGCCACTTCAGGGCGACGTCTCGTCGCTGAACGAAGCGGGTGTAGCTCAGTTGGTTAGAGTGCCGGCCTGTCACGCCGGAGGTCGCGGGTTCGAGCCCCGTCACTCGCGCCACTTCCCAACCAAGGTCAAAGCGGCCGGATCGGGATGGCGCAAACTACCGTGAATGTGCGGGTGTAGCTCAGTTGGTTAGAGTGCCGGCCTGTCACGCCGGAGGTCGCGGGTTCGAGCCCCGTCACTCGCGCCACTCACGGTACCTGGATCTTTCCCCAATGCCTCGTTGAACGGCAGTCCCCGGTGAACGACTGGCATCTGGTTCTGGCTGTGTTTTCCCGTTTTCGTATCCCGACATTTACCGTTCAAAACGCCTGTAAACGAGTGACAGGTGCAATGTGTTCAATTTATTGTATTTTTGCAGGTTCGGGCGACTCAATCCACTTTCCGGCTTTAGAGTGGTAATCATGGATGGGTGCGGCATAATTGCGCTCGACTTGTGAAGAGAATTTACATTGGTGCAAACTGGCTGGAACCGGGGAGTTGAAGAGGGTCTTCTGGAAATTGGTTTGAGTGTGGCAAGAGTTTGACCGTATGGGGGTCTTGCGTTGCACCATATCGTAAGTTAAGCGTGCGCTCGCATGTTGGTTCAATTGGCCGACGGGCTCTGCACGATCTGCCTGCTGGGAGGGGTGATGCGCGGGAGCCCAGGCTCCGGATCGCCTCCCGGTCCGCCTCCAAATGCAAGGACGCGAAAGACATGGAAGAATTGCTGCGGGAATACATCCCGATTGTCGTGTTCGTCGGCATTGCGCTGGTGATTGGCCTTGCGCTGCTGATTTCTCCGTTTTTGCTGGCCTACAGGAATCCGGATCCCGAAAAACTCTCTGCCTACGAATGCGGTTTCAACGCTTTCGACGATGCGCGCATGAAATTTGACGTGCGTTTTTACCTGGTGTCGATCCTGTTCATCATCTTTGATCTCGAAGTTGCGTTCCTGTTTCCCTGGTCGGCCGTGTTCGGTGAACTCGGATGGTACGGGTTCTGGTCGATGATGATTTTTCTCGGCGTCCTGACGGTCGGATTCATCTATGAGTGGAAAAAGGGAGCGCTGGAATGGGACTGACCACGACAGAACCGCTCGTTGCACAGCAACCGAAGGGCATCATTGATCCGAACACCGGCAAACCTGTTGGTGAAGACGACGCCTTTTTCCTGGAAGTGAACAATGAGTTGGCGGACAAGGGCTTTCTCGTAACGTCGACCGACAATCTCATTCAATGGGCGCGCACGGGATCCCTGATGTGGATGACTTTCGGGCTTGCCTGCTGCGCCGTTGAAATGATGCAGATGTCGATGCCGCGCTACGACGCTGAACGCTTCGGTTTCGCACCGCGCGCATCCCCCAGGCAATCCGACGTGATGATCGTTGCCGGCACGTTGACCAACAAGATGGCGCCGGCTCTGCGCAAGGTCTACGATCAGATGCCCGAGCCGCGTTACGTCATCTCGATGGGTTCTTGCGCGAATGGCGGCGGGTATTATCACTATTCCTATTCTGTGGTGCGTGGCTGCGACCGGGTTGTGCCCGTCGACATTTACGTGCCCGGTTGTCCTCCGACGGCTGAAGCGCTTCTTTATGGTGTTCTCCTTCTTCAAAAGAAGATCCGGCGCACGGGAACGATCGAACGGTAAGAGATCTTTCGCCAATGATTTGGTGTCGGATTTTTTGTAATAAGACAGGCGCTCCGCGTCTTTTGAAAATGGCTCCTGGGGAGTGAGGTCGAACACGATGGACGAGACGCTGAAGGAACTCGCTGAGCATATCGAGCTTGGCCTGGGTGAGTCTCTTGTGTCCTACAAGGTCGAATATGGTGAGCTGACGCTTTCCGTGAACGCGACCGACATTCTCGATGTGGTCCGTTTTCTTCGCGACAACAGTTCATGCAAGTTCGTCAATCTGACTGATATTTGCGGGGTCGACTATCCGGCACGCGAAAAGCGTTTCGATGTCGTTTATCACTTCTTGTCCCCGGTCCAGAATCATCGGATCCGAGTGAAGCTTGAAACCGACGAAGACACAGCTGTGGCTTCGCTCACGCCCTTGTTTCCCGGTGCGGAATGGTTTGAACGCGAAGCCTATGACATGTACGGCATTCTGTTCACCGGCCACCCGGATCTCCGCCGGATACTGACCGACTACGGCTTTGACGGTCACCCGCTACGGAAGGATTTCCCCGTTACCGGATTTGTCGAAGTCCGCTACGACGACGAAAAGAAGCGTGTTGTCTACGAGCCGGTGCGGCTGAACCAGGAAATGCGCTCATTTGATTTTCTTTCGCCATGGGAGGGCACTGACTACGTGCTGCCAGGCGACGAAAAAGCAACGACGAATTGAGGCGGGCAGGGATGAGCGAGCAGCTAACTGGCAGTTGTCTTTGCGGGGAAGTCAAGTTTACCGCTGTTCCCACCGATGGCGAAATGGGTGTCTGCCACTGCGAAATGTGCAGACGCTGGACCGGCGGCACTTACATGGCGGTTTCCTGTGGCACGAGTGTCTCGTTTCAGGATGAAGCAGCGCTCGGCGTCTACAGGTCATCGGACTATGGGGAGCGCGTGTTTTGCAATACTTGTGGCTCCACAATCGCCTGGCGCCTGCGGGACGGCTCCCACACTTCGATGTCGGCGCAGGCGTTCGACGATCCTTCGATCTTCAAATTCACATCTGAAATCTTCGTGGATGAGCAACCGGAAAATTACGCGTTTGCGAATGAAACCCGCAAAATGACCGGTCCGGAAGTCTTCGCGTATTACGTCCAAAAGCAGGATCCTCAAAATGGCTGAGGCTCAGGTCAGAAACTTCAACATCAACTTCGGACCGCAGCATCCGGCGGCACACGGGGTTCTTCGCCTGGTGCTGGAGCTGGATGGCGAGGTGGTAACCCGCGTCGACCCGCATATAGGTCTCCTGCATCGGGGAACCGAGAAACTCATCGAGCAGAAGACGTATCTGCAGGCAATTCCCTACTTCGATCGCCTCGACTACGTGGCGCCGATGAACCAGGAACATGCATTTGCGATGGCCGTCGAGCGGCTGATTGGGATCGAGGTGCCGAAGCGGGGCCAGCTGATCAGGGTTCTGTATTCTGAAATCGGTCGCATCCTGTCGCACCTCTTGAACGTGACGACACAGGCGATGGATGTCGGTGCCCTGACGCCGCCGCTTTGGGGGTTCGAGCCTCGCGAAGAACTGATGGTGTTCTACGAGCGTGCCTGTGGCGCACGCATGCATTCCGCCTATGTACGTCCAGGCGGGGTTCATCAGGACCTGCCGCGCGATCTTCTCGACGATATCTGGGATTTTTGCGACCCGTTTCTGCAGACACTGGATGATATTGAAGGACTGCTGACCGACAACAGGATCTTCAAGCAGCGCAATGTCGATATCGGTGTCGTCGATCTGGACGATGCCTGGGCGTGGGGCTTTTCCGGTGTCATGGTGCGCGGGTCAGGAGCGGCATGGGATTTGCGCAAGTCGCAACCCTATGAGTGTTATCCCGAACTCGAATTCGACATTCCGATCGGCAAGAACGGTGATTGCTACGATCGCTATCTCATTCGCATGGAAGAAATGCGCCAGTCGGTTCGGATCATGAAACAATGCCTCGAGAAACTGACTGTGGAAACAGGACCTGTTTCTTCGGTAGACGGCAAGATCGTTCCACCGAAGCGCGGTGAAATGAAGCGGTCGATGGAAGCGCTAATTCACCACTTCAAGCTCTACACCGAGGGGTATCATGTCCCGGCCGGGGAGGTGTATGCCGCCGTTGAAGCGCCAAAGGGGGAATTTGGCGTCTATCTTGTCTCGGACGGTACCAACAAGCCGTACAGGTGCAAGATCAAGGCACCTGGGTACGCACATCTGCAGGCGATGGACTTCCTTTGCCGCGGCCATATGCTCGCTGACGTCTCGGCGGTGCTTGGTTCAATGGATATCGTGTTCGGTGAGGTCGACCGCTGATGCCGGCGACCAACTACTCTTATTCGACCCTGGCAGCCGCCGAGCCGGCTCCGGTCACTGTGACAGAACGGGGATAACACCATGGCGGTTCGCCGACTTGCCGCGGAACAACCAGAAAGCTTCGAGTTCACCGAGAAGAACCTCGCATGGGCAAACAAGCTGATCGATCGTTATCCGGCGGGCCGTCAGGCTTCCGCGGTCATTCCGCTGTTGTGGCGCGCACAGGAGCAGAATGATGGTTGGGTCAGCGAGCCTTCCATCCGGTACATCGCCGAACTTCTCGACATGCCGAACATTCGTGTCCTGGAAGTGGCGACATTCTACACGATGTTCCAGCTGCAGCCTGTCGGCAAGAAAGCGCATATTCAGGTTTGTGGAACGACGCCCTGCCAGCTGCGTGGATCAGAAGATCTGATCAAGATCTGCAAGTCCCGCATTGCGAATCACATGCACGAAATCTCCGAGGATGGCATGTTCTCCTGGGAAGAAGTCGAGTGCCTGGGAGCCTGCGTCAATGCGCCGATGGTGCAGATCTACAAGGATACATACGAAGACCTGACTCCGGAGAGCTTTGAAAACCTGCTTGACGACATTGAAGCCGGTAACGAGGTAACACCGGGACCACAGAATGGCCGCCGGTTTGCAATGGCCGAGGGTGGCCTGACAAGCCTGACCGAACTTGACGATGACACCAAGGGTGTTCTGCCGCTGCCGCATGTCGTTGACGGCGCGGAAAAGGCGTCGCACGAGTTTGCAGGTGCCGCCATCAACACGGGTGGCAATGACTATGACGGTGTGCCGACGCCGGCTGAAGATGCCGTCGCGAAGGTGAGAGCGGAGTTCGCTGCGAAAGCGGAGAAAAAGGCTGAAACTCCGGCTCCGGCTCCGGCTCCGGCTGCAGCCGAGAAGAAAGCCGAGGCTCCTGCACCGAAGAAAGAACAACCAAAGACGTCACCTGCGAAGAAAAAGGGCACCGCTGCTGCAAAACCGAAAGAAGTTGCAGCCGAAACGCCCGCAGTTGAAGAACAAGCGCCCGAGACACTGGATGGGCCTCGTGGTGGCAAGGCGGACGATCTGAAGAAACTGAAGGGTGTCGGACCGAAACTAGAGGCGACTCTTCACGAACTCGGGTTTTATCACTTCGATCAGGTTGCCAACTGGGGGCCGGCCGAAGTCGCCTGGGTGGATAGCAGATTGAAGTTCAAGGGCCGTATCGAGCGTGATGGCTGGATCGAGCAAGCCAGAACTCTTGCTGCCGGTGAAGACACAGAATTTTCCAAGCGCGTGGAAGCCGGTGAAGTGGCCTCCTCGAAGAGCGAAGAATAGGGGGAAGAGATGCTGAAAGATCAGGATCGGATCTTCACCAATATCTACGGTCTGCACGACTGGGGACTGGACGGTGCGAAAAAGCGCGGCCAGTGGGACGATACCAAGGGGCTGATCGACAAGGGCCGTGACTGGATCATTCAGGAAATGAAGGATTCCGGTCTGCGTGGCCGTGGTGGTGCAGGCTTTCCCACGGGACTGAAATGGTCATTCATGCCCAAGGCAACCGACGGGCGTCCGGCGTATCTCGTCGTCAATGCCGACGAATCCGAACCTGGAACCTGCAAGGATCGGGAAATACTGCGTCATGACCCGCATACGCTGGTCGAGGGATGCCTGGTAGCCGGTTTCGCCATGGGGGCCATTGCCGCCTATATCTACGTGCGCGGCGAATTCATCCGCGAACGAGAGCGACTGCAGGCGGCAATCGATCAGGCATACGATGACGGACTGATCGGCAAGAACAACAAGAACGGTTACGATTTCGACATCTATGTCCATCACGGCGCAGGTGCCTACATCTGCGGCGAGGAAACAGCGCTGCTGGAAAGTCTTGAAGGCAAGAAGGGCCAACCGCGTCTGAAACCGCCTTTTCCGGCCAATGTCGGCCTCTATGGCTGTCCGACGACCGTAAACAACGTTGAGTCCATTGCCGTGGCGCCAACAATCCTGCGACGGGGAGCCGCCTGGTTCTCCGCTCTCGGGCGGCCAAACAACACAGGCACGAAACTCTTCTGCGTCTCCGGACACGTCAATCAGCCGGCGACCTTCGAAGAAGAACTCGGGGTTCCGTTTTCGGAGATGATCGACAAGCACTGCGGCGGTATTCGCGGTGGATGGGACAACCTTCTGGCGGTTATCCCGGGTGGGTCCTCGGTTCCCTGCTGCACGGCGGACGAGATCAAGGACGCGCCGATGGATTTCGACACCCTTCGCGGCATGGGGTCTGGCCTCGGAACTGCGGCCGTGATCGTGATGGATAAATCAACCGACATCATCAAGGCAATCGCGCGCCTTTCCTACTTCTACAAGCATGAAAGCTGCGGTCAGTGCACGCCATGCCGGGAAGGCACAGGCTGGATGTGGCGGGTGATGGAACGCATGGTCAAGGGCGAATCCTCCTACGAGGAAATCGACATGCTGTTCAAGGTTACAAAGCAGGTCGAAGGCCATACGATTTGTGCGCTCGGGGATGCGGCTGCATGGCCGATCCAGGGTTTGATCAAGAATTTCCGGCCGGTCATCGAGCAACGCATCGACGACTATGTTGCCAAGTCGAAGGCGTCTTCGACAATGGTGGCGGCTGAGTGAGCGGAACGGGATTTGGAGAGCAACGGATGACGAAGCTCATCATCGACGGCAAGGAAGTGGAAGTCCCGGCGGACTACACGCTGCTTCAGGCCTGTGAAGAGGCGGGCGCCGAGGTTCCGCGCTTTTGTTACCACGACCGGCTGTCGATAGCCGGCAACTGCCGCATGTGCCTGGTGGAAGTGAAGGGTGGGCCGCCCAAACCGACCGCGTCATGCGCCATGGGCGTAAAAGACCTGCGCTCGGGGCCCAATGGCGAGCCTCCCGTCGTCGAAACCAAGTCCGAAATGGTCAAGAGCGCGCGCGAAGGGGTGATGGAGTTCCTGCTCATCAACCACCCGCTCGATTGTCCGATCTGTGACCAGGGTGGCGAGTGCGACCTGCAGGACCAGGCCATGGCCTACGGGGTCGACGGGTCGCGTTTTCACGAAAACAAGCGTGCGGTCGAGAACAAGGAAATCGGTCCGCTGATCAAGACGATCATGACCCGCTGCATCCATTGCACCCGTTGCGTCCGATTCACCACAGAGGTGTGTGGCGTAACCGACATGGGTCTTGTCGGTCGCGGTGAAAATGCCGAGATCACCACATATCTTGAAGCGGCCCTGTCATCGGAGATGCAGGGAAACGTGGCGGATCTGTGCCCGGTCGGTGCTCTGACGCACAAGCCTTATGAATTTCATGCGCGTCCATGGGAACTGACCAAGACCGAGAGCGTGGATGTCATGGATGCGGTCGGATCCGCGATCCGTGTCGACTCCCGTGGCAAGGAAGTCATGCGCGTCATGCCGCGCCTGAACGAGGAGGTCAACGAAGAATGGATCTCCGACAAGTCCCGGTACATCTGGGATGGTCTCAAGACGCAACGCCTTGATCGTCCCTATGCCAAGAAGGACGGCAAGCTGCAGCCTGTCTCCTGGACGGAAGCTTTCCAGATCATCGCCGAAAAGGTGAAGGCTACGTCGGCTGGCAAGATCGGTGCGCTCGCCGGGCAGTTGGCCAGTGTCGAAGACATGTTTGCGCTGAAATGCCTGATGGAAAAGCTGGGCGTTGCGAATATCGACAGCCGTTTCCCGGGGTCGCCATTGCATCCTGGAAACGGTCGTGCGAGCTACATTTTCAACTCCACGATCCAGGGCATTGAAGACGCTGACGCGATCATGCTGATCGGCACCAACCCTCGGCAGGAAGCGCCTGTGCTGAATGCGCGTATCCGCGCACGCTGGACGAGGGGCGATGTTCATATCGGGCTTATTGGCGAAGACGCCGATCTGACGTATCCGGTGACTTACCTGGGTGCCGGGCCTGAAAGCCTTAAGCAGTTTGTCGACCACGCTCCGGCAAAGGCCGAGCGTCCCATGTTCATCATCGGGCAGGGCGCTCTCAACCGTCCGGATGGAGCTGCCGTTCTGGCCACTCTGGCGGCAGCTGCAAAATCGCTCGGAGTTATCAAGGAAGGCTGGAACGGTTTCAACGTGTTGCACACAGAAGCCTCCCAGGTCGGCGCGCTCGATATCGGTTTTGTTCCGGGTGAAGACGGCAAAGACACTGGTGCCATGCTGGAAGAAGGAGCGCTTGATTTGCTCTTCCTGCTCGGTGTCGACGAACTTGATGTTCCGGACGGTGCCTTCGTGGTCTACCAGGGTACACACGGTGATCGCGGAGCACATCGTGCCGACGTGATCCTGCCGGGCGCTGCCTACACCGAGAAATCCGGGATCTATGTCAATACCGAAGGCCGTGTCCAGATGGCCGACCGGGCGGCGTTTCCGCCTGGCGACGCGCGAGAAGACTGGGCCATTCTGAGGGCGCTTTCCGGAAATCTCGATCAGACGCTGGAATTCGACTCGCTCGCCGAGTTGCGTGCGAAACTGTTCGAAGCCCATCCTCACATGACCGGTATCGATATGATCGAGACGGGTAATGGCGCGGATGTCGAAAAGCTGGCCGACGCGTCTGCCCGCATGGATGGTGCCAGATTTGCCAATGTGATCCGTGACTTTTTTCTGACCAACCCGATCGCTCGTGCCTCGAAAACGATGGCCGAGTGTTCGGCGCTCGCAAAGTCGCGAGCGGCAGAAGCAGCTGAATAAGGGGTAGGGGACCGAAATGGTTGAGTTCTTCGAAGCGACCTACCTGGGTCAGTTTCTCCTGATGGCGCTTAAGAGCGTTCTGCTCATGGTCGTGCTGCTGGTGATCGTGGCCTATATTCTATATGCCGACCGCAAGATCTGGGCCGCCGTCCAGATTCGCCGCGGTCCCAATGTCGTCGGACCATGGGGCCTTCTGCAGAGTTTTGCCGACCTTCTGAAATTTGTCTTGAAGGAACCGGTCATTCCGGACGGGTCGAACAAGATCCTGTTTTTGCTGGCCCCGCTGATCTCCGTGCTGCTAGCCCTGTCTGCATGGGCCGTGATCCCGGTTGCTGACGGCTGGGTGATTGCGAATATCAATGTCGGCGTTCTGTTTGTTTTTGCCGTATCCTCACTTGAAGTCTATGGCGTTATCATCGGCGGATGGGCTTCCAACTCGAAATATCCGTTCCTGTCCGCGCTTCGATCTGCCGCACAGATGGTGTCCTACGAGGTTTCCATCGGCTTCGTGATCGTGACCGTTCTTCTGTGTGCAGGAACCCTGAACCTGACCGGAATTGTCGAGGCGCAGCAGACAGGTCTGGCGACCTTGCTCGGCGTGCCATGGCTGTCATTTCTGAACTGGTACTGGTTGCCGCTCTTCCCGATGTTCGTGGTGTTCTTCGTTTCTGCGCTTGCAGAGACAAACAGACCTCCGTTCGACCTGGCTGAAGCTGAATCGGAACTGGTCGCCGGCTTCATGGTGGAATACGGATCCACTCCGTACATGATGTTCATGCTTGGCGAGTATGTCGCGATCTGTCTGATGTGTGCGCTGATGACCATCTTCTTCATGGGGGGATGGCTGCCGCCCTTCGACTTTGCGCCCTTCACATGGGTGCCCGGGATTGTCTGGTTCATTTTGAAATGCCTGCTCGGCTTCTTCATGTTCGCCATGGTGAAGGCGATGGTTCCGCGGTACCGCTATGATCAGCTCATGCGCCTTGGCTGGAAGGTCTTCCTGCCGCTGTCGCTTGGCATGGTGGTTGTCGTTGCAGCGGTGCTGATGGCCACGGGTTGGGCGCCGGGCGCGACGTGAGCGTGTCGCTTGCCGGAGTGATCGGTGCTGCGATCGGGTTTTATGTCGGCTGGCTCGACTACAAGATCCTGAAGGGGATGCTTCAGGCAACAGAGACGAAGAACAGGCAGGCCGGCGGCGACGGTGGCCGGGCCGCAAGGTACAAAGCGCCCTTGAGCGCACTGATTTTTGGAGTTCCGGTGATCGGCTTCCCGATTGTCGGCTATTGGGCCGCCAGCCAGCTGGCTGGTTGAGGAAAGAGAGGCAAGAAGCGATGGGACTTAATCAAGCCGTCAAATCGCTGTTTCTGCAGGAATTCGTATCGGCGTTCATTCTGGCGATGCGTTATTTCTTCAAGCCGAAGCCAACGGTCAACTACCCTTTCGAAAAGGGACCGGTTAGCCCGCGCTTTCGGGGAGAACATGCTTTGCGCCGTTATCCGAACGGCGAAGAGCGCTGCATAGCCTGTAAGTTGTGCGAAGCCATCTGTCCGGCCCAGGCGATCACCATCGAGGCGGGGCCACGCCGGAATGACGGCACACGCAGGACCACCCGATACGACATCGACATGGTCAAATGCATCTATTGCGGCTTCTGCCAGGAAGCCTGCCCTGTGGACGCAATTGTCGAAGGGCCGAATTTCGAGTTCGCCACGGAAACCCGCGAAGAGCTCTACTACGACAAGGAAAAACTGCTTGCGAACGGCGACCGCTGGGAACGCGAAATCGCCCGGAACATTGAAATGGATGCTCCTTACCGCTAGGAGCTAACCCAACACTTCGACGTTAGCCCGGCAATCCGGTCGGGCTCCGCATTTCCGGCCTGAACGGGCCACACGACAGACAGGTCTTTGAAATGATCCTGAAAGCCCTCTTCTTCTACCTGTTTGCCGGTGTCACACTGGCGTCAGGGTTCATGGTGATCGCGGCCCGAAATCCGGTGACGTCGGTTCTGTTCCTGATCCTGGCCTTTGTGAATTCAGCAGGTTTGTTCGTGCTTCTCGGTGCTGAATACCTGGCGATGCTTCTTGTGGTCGTCTATGTCGGCGCGGTCGCGGTGCTTTTCCTGTTCGTTGTGATGATGCTGGACGTTGATTTCGTCGAGTTGCGGCAAGGCTTCCTGCAATATCTTCCGATCGGTGGTCTGGTTGGCCTCATTCTCATGGTCGAGCTCCTGATGGGCCTGGGAGCCTGGGTCATCGTACCTGACGTTCTTGGGCATGGCGCGGAACCGACACCGGACCTTGCCCAGACAAGCAACATCGAGGCGCTCGGGTCGGTGCTCTACACGAAATACATCTATTTCTTCCAGGTCGCAGGCCTGGTGCTGCTGGTGGCGATGATCGGGGCAATTGTCCTGACCCTGCGCCACAAGCCGAATGTCAAACGTCAAAGCATACCGGATCAGGTCGCACGCACACGCGAGTCGGCCGTCGAAGTCCGGAAGGTGGAGACGGGCAAGGGTATCTGACGCAGAACACTGCGTCATTTTAGGAAAGTCTGGTAACCGGCACGCTCCTCCGTGCGGTTTCCAGTGGGGTAAACGAGGGGAGCACGGCGAGGCGCCCATGGAAATCGGTCTGTCGCACTATTTGTCTGTCGCGGCCATCCTGTTCACGATCGGAATATTCGGGATCTTCCTGAACAGGAAAAACGTGATTGTCATCCTGATGTCCATCGAACTGCTTTTGCTGTCGGTGAACATCAACTTTGTCGCCTTTTCGTCGTTCCTCGGCGACCTGATGGGGCAGATCTTCACCATGCTGGTCCTCACCGTGGCCGCCGCGGAAGCGGCAATCGGGCTTGCGATCCTGGTAGTGTTCCACCGAAACCGCGGTTCCATTGCCGTGGAAGACGTCAACGTGATGAAAGGGTAGGAGCTGATGTATTCCGCAATCCTGTTCCTGCCGCTTATAGGCTTTCTGATTGCCGGCCTTTTCGGCCGTGCGATTGGCGACAAAGCCTGCGAATACGTCACGAGCGGGCTGGTCATACTGGCGGCCCTGTTGTCTTGGATCACGTTCTTCGGTTTCTGGCTCGGCGGCTCCGAACTGCAGATCGAGCCGTTGTTCCGCTGGATGGACGCAGGTGACCTGAAAGTCATGTGGTCCATTCGGGTCGACACCCTGACAGCGGTCATGCTGGTCGTGGTCAACACGGTTTCCGCGCTGGTGCATGTCTATTCCATCGGCTACATGCACCACGATCCGCACCGTCCCAGGTTTTTCGCCTATCTGTCGTTGTTCACCTTCGCGATGCTGTCGCTGGTAACAGCAGACAATCTTCTTCAGATGTTCTTCGGCTGGGAAGGCGTGGGTCTGGCTTCCTATCTGCTGATCGGTTTCTGGTACAAGAAGCCGTCAGCGAATGCGGCTGCGATCAAGGCCTTCGTCGTCAACCGGGTTGGTGACTTCGGCTTCGCACTCGGCATCTTCGGCATTTTCTTCATCTTCCAGAGCATCGAATTCACAACGATCTTCAACGACGCGCCTTCCTTCATCGAGGGGCAGGGCGAAGTGATGACCTTCCTTGGGTATCACCTTGATCCGCAAGCGGCGATGACGATTATCTGCCTGCTGCTTTTCATGGGAGCGATGGGCAAGTCGGCCCAGTTCCTGCTGCACACCTGGCTGCCGGACGCAATGGAAGGTCCGACACCGGTTTCAGCGCTGATCCATGCAGCAACCATGGTGACCGCGGGTGTCTTCATGGTGGCACGCCTGTCGCCCCTGATGGAACTGTCCCAGACCGCGTTGACGGTGATCATCTTCTTCGGTGCGACAACCGCTTTCTTTGCGGCAACGATCGGCCTGGTCCAGAACGATATCAAACGCGTGATTGCCTATTCGACTTGTTCGCAGCTCGGGTACATGTTCGTGGCACTCGGTGTTGGAGCCTATTCGATCGGCATTTTCCACCTGTTCACGCATGCGTTCTTCAAGGCGCTTCTGTTCCTGTGCGCCGGGTCCGTGATCCACGCAGTTTCCGATGAGCAGGACATGCGCAAGATGGGCGGTCTTCGCAAGCACATCCCGATCACCTACTGGACGATGATGATCGGCACGCTGGCACTGACCGGGGTCGGTATCCCACTCACTCATCTCGGATTTGCCGGGTTCATGTCCAAGGATGCGATCATCGAGGCCGCTTACGCCAGTGCCGGTGGTGAACATGCGAACCCGATGGCGCTATACGGTTTCTGGATGACGGTGATCGCTGCGGCGCTGACGTCGTTCTATTCCTGGCGCCTGACCTTCATGACTTTCCATGGCAAGCCACGTGCTCCGGTGGACGTGATGAAACATGTTCATGAATCGCCGCGTGTGATGACTATCCCCTTGTTCGTCCTGTCGGCCGGCGCTGCGCTTGCAGGAATGATCTTTTACAGTTCATTCTATGGTGAAGGCTATGAAGCCTTCTGGAAGGGCTCGCTCTTCACGTCGGAAGCCAATCACGTCCTTCACGAAATGCACTCTGTCCCCGCTTGGGTGAAAGTGTCACCATTTGTGATGATGGCTCTCGGTTTCCTGGTCGCCTATCAGTTCTATATCCGCTCTCCGGAAACACCGAAGAAGCTCGCGGAACGCCATCAGGGCCTATACCAGTTCCTGTTGAACAAGTGGTATTTCGACGAGATCTACGATTTCCTGATTGTCCGTCCCACGATGTGGCTTGGCCGTGTTCTCTGGAAGAAGGGCGACGGTACGGTCATCGACGGCTACGGTCCTGACGGAATTTCCGCACGTGTCCAGAACGTCACGTCCTGGGTCGTGAGGCTTCAGACCGGATATCTCTATCACTATGCATTTGCGATGCTGATCGGCGTTGCAGCGCTTATTACCTGGTCAATGTTCACCGGTGCCGGCACCGGCGGGGGTGCGCACTAATGATTGCCTGGCCAATTCTGTCACTCACGACATTTCTGCCGCTGCTTGGCGTGCTCTTCATTCTGCTCGTTTCGGGGGATGACGAAGGAAGCAAGCGCAACATCCGGATGGTCGCTCTGGTGACCACAGGTGTGACGTTCCTGTTGTCGCTTTTCATCTGGGGCAATTTCGACTACGCCAATCCAGGCTTCCAGTTCGTGGAAAACCGGGACTGGCTCGGTGGTGACATCAGCTACAAGATGGGTGTCGACGGGATTTCCGTCCTGTTCGTGATCCTGACCACCTTCCTGATGCCGTTCTGCATTCTCGCGTCCTGGGAAAGTGTCCAGAAACGCGTGAAGGAGTACATGATCGCGTTTCTGGTTCTGGAAACGCTGATGATAGGCGTGTTCTGTTCGCTTGACCTTTTCGTCTTCTACATCTTCTTCGAGGCAGGCCTTATCCCGATGTTCCTGATCATCGGCGTGTGGGGCGGCAAGCGCAGGGTCTACGCGTCCTACAAGTTCTTCCTCTATACGCTGCTCGGATCGGTCCTGATGCTGATCGCGATCATGACGATGTACTGGGACGCCGGCACAACAGACATTGAAAAATTGATGGCGCATACGTTCCCGTCCGGCATGCAGACGTGGTTATGGGTGGCGTTCTTTGCCAGCTTTGCAGTGAAGATGCCGATGTGGCCGGTACATACCTGGTTGCCCGATGCCCACGTGGAAGCGCCGACCGCGGGGTCGGTCATCCTGGCCGGCATTCTCCTGAAGCTTGGTGGTTACGGTTTCCTGCGCTTCTCGTTGCCCATGTTCCCGATTGCCTCGGACATGTTCGCACCGTTCATCTTTACCCTTTCCGTTGTGGCGATCATCTACACGTCGCTGGTTGCGCTCGCCCAGGAAGACATCAAGAAGCTGATTGCATACTCATCTGTCGCCCACATGGGTTACGTGACCATGGGTATCTTCACGATGACAGAGCAGGGTGTACAGGGCGGGATCTTCCAGATGCTGTCGCACGGTATCGTGTCCGGAGCGCTCTTCCTGTGTGTCGGGGTTATCTATGACAGGATGCACACCCGCGAAATCTCCGCTTACGGAGGGCTCGTCAACCGCATGCCGAAATACGCCGTTGCCTTCCTGATTTTCACCATGGCCAATGTGGGCCTGCCGGGCACGTCCGGTTTCGTGGGTGAAATCCTGACGCTCATGGGTGCATTCCAGGTCAACACCTGGGTGGCGTTCCTGGCAACGTCCGGTGTGATCCTGTCTGCAGCCTACGCGCTTTACCTCTACCGCCGTGTTGTGTTCGGTGCGCTGGAGAAGGAAAGCCTGAAGTCGATGCTGGATCTCAATCTTCGGGAGAAGGTCATACTGTTCCCGATGATCGTCCTGACGATTTTCTTCGGATTCTATCCAATGGCAATCCTGGATGTGACACAGGGCTCCGTGGACAATCTCATCAATCACTACACTGCAGCGCTCGAGGCGGCCGGGGTCACCCAGCACGCCGCGGCAGCTGCAGCGGCGCATTAAGGTATCGAGGGCGAGACAGAGCTATGTCAGATGTGACTCAATTGCCAGATCTCATGCCGGTTCTGCCGGAGATCATCCTGGCCGTCGGTGCCATGGTGCTTCTGATGATCGGCGCCTTCGGTGGAAAAGGCGTTAGCTACGCGGTCTTCGGCTTTGCTATGGGCCTGCTTGGCACAGCGTTCCTGATCCTCCTGCTCGTTCCGACATTTGGCGAGACGTTCGGCGGATCCTTCGTCCTGGACGAGTTCGCCTATCTGCTGAAACTCATGGTGCTGGTTGGTTCGTTCTTTGCCATTGCAATGTCCTGGGCTTATGCCAAGAGCCAGTCCTTCGATCATTTCGAGTATCCGATCCTGATCATTCTTGCGACGCTCGGCATGATGCTGATGCTGTCTGCGAACGACATGATTGCGCTTTATCTCGGTCTGGAACTGCAGAGCCTGTCGCTCTACGTGGTGGCCGCAATCAACCGGGACAGTGTGAGATCCACGGAAGCCGGGCTGAAGTATTTCGTTCTCGGGGCGCTGTCCTCAGGCATGCTGCTTTACGGAATGTCGCTGGTTTACGGCTTTACCGGACAGATTTCCTTTGCGGGCATCGCGGAAGTTCTCACGGATGACGGAGCGTCCATTGGTCTTGTCATTGGCCTGACATTCATCCTGGCAGGTCTCGCCTTCAAGATATCCGCCGTGCCGTTCCACATGTGGACACCTGACGTTTATGAAGGTGCACCGACACCCGTGACAGCGTTTCTGGCTGCGGCGCCGAAAGTCGCCGCGATGGGCATGCTGGTGCGGATCGTCATCGAGGCGTTTCATCCTGTCACCAGTGACTGGCAGCAGGTTATCGTCTTTGTCTCGATTGCTTCCATGGCGCTTGGTGCCTTTGCCGCAATCGGTCAGCGCAACCTGAAACGGCTGATGGCCTATTCCTCGATCGGGCATATGGGCTATGCGCTTGTGGGGCTGTCCGCGGGAACGCAGACCGGCGTCGAAGGCGTCATTTTCTACATGATTGCCTATCTCGGCATGACGCTTGGTGTGTTTGCCTGCATCCTG